ATATTTAATTTTAGAGGGTGGGCAAACGATTTTATTTAGTTTTAAGAGGTGGGCAATCGTTTTTTGTTAAAAATATTTAATTTTAGGGGGTGGGCAAACGATTTTATTTAGTTTTAAGACATGGGCAAACGATTTTTGTTAAAAATATTTAATTTTAGAGGGTGGGCAAACGATTTTATTTAGTTTTAAGACATGGGCAAACGTTTTTTCTTAAAAAAACTTAGTTTTAAGGGGTGGGCAAACGATATTTTTTAATTTTAAAGGGTGGGCAAACGATTTTATTTAGTTTTAAGAGGTGGGCAATCGTTTTTTGTTAAAAATATTTAATTTTAGGGGGTGGGCAAACGATTTTATTTAGTTTTAAGAGGTGGGCAATCGTTTTTTGTTAAAAATATTTAATTTTAAGGGGTGGGCAAACGAAATTTTTTAATTTTAAAGGGTGGGCAAACGATTTTATTCAGTTTTAAGAGGTGGGCAATCGTTTTTTGTTAAAAATATTTAATTTTAGGGGTGGGCAAACGATTTTATTTAGTTTAAAGAGGTGGGCAAACGTTTTTTGTTAAAATATTTAGTTTTAGAGGGTGGGCAAACGTTATAATTTTGAACAATTTTTAAAGTTGAATATTTTCAAAACTGGACGTGGTCAAAAAAAAGTAAAGGGTGGGCAAACATGGGCAACGAATGGGCAAACGATTCCAGTTTTCAAAATTTTAAAATTCAAAATTTCCCAGTACAATTTTGAAAATTTTCTAAACTTGAAGTTTTTTCAAAATTCTAAAGGGTGGGCAAACGTGGGCAAACGATGTTATTGCGATTTCCAAAAAAAAAATTTGAAAAAAGTCAACTTTTGGTTTTTCGAAATATGATGAAAATTTTCAAAGTCGAATATTTTCAAAACTGGACGTGGGCAAAAAAAAGTAAAAGGTGGGCAAACATGGGCAAACGATGGGCAAACGATTCCAGCTTTCAAATTTCAAAAAAAAAATTTTTCCGACCCCAGCTTCTTTGAGCTCGTAAATCTGCAGCACGATTATAATACGAAAACAGTGGTCACCCGGTATCAGGATTAAATTTGTATAAAATGTGGAAAATAAGAGGGAATTATTGCTGCTTTTTATTTAAAAAAAATGTATACAAATCGGATGACTGCAAGAATATCCATTAAAGTCGTATTATAGCTTTTGTTACTTTTCCACGATGGGTAAGATATATTTTTGCTTCTCTGAACGCATAATATTTCCCCCAAAAAGCTTTTAGCGCAGTGTCATGTTATAAATCTTTTTGAAAGATCTTGAAACTGCTAAATAAACATAGAAGTTCAGTCAAAGAATTATTTGATAAGGTTTCGTTTTACAAGTATCCAAATGCGAATCTTTAAATACTCTGAAAAAGCCAGTTTGTGACATTTATACAACTTGGAACCAATTTTTAAATTATATAGAACATAATTATGGAGCTTTTGAGATTGTGGATGGAATATAATACCCCCTAACTGATAGAGTATCAAATTGATTTGGTCCGCATACTCAATATAGAGACACAATTGCCATAATTAAATAATAAACAATTGCACAAGTGCTGAGAATGCGGCGTACACATTGGTTCGGTCAATAGATGTAGGCCTCCGTGTCAAAACTGGATCGTATATTTCGCCTTGTGCAAATTGAGTTAAAGTCGCAATGGACCAAAGGCAACCGACCCGCACAACACCCCCGTTCGAACCCCCTCTTATATTTTATGCGATTTGCTTCCAGACAACGTGACGTCGTGGTACAGGCTTTGAGATTCTTCAGTATGCAAAATTATTTGTCCGTTTTATATGCACCAGTGCCGTCTTGTCTTGTCTGTCTGCCCGATTTCCTGGAGTAGTTTCTCTGCAAGATACGCACAAGTGGGCATGGACGTCTCCTAATGGGTTGCGCATGTAAGGACCCAGCACAAAACATGGTCTCCGAACAGGCATTACATAAGTTTTTAGACCTTATTGCCTGCCGCTCTGCTGCTGCTGCCTGTCATAAGGCCAAGTGGAGATTGTAAAGGGGTGACAGATTGATGTGTGCCTTAGATTAGATTGGATATGGTAATTGACAAGGGGAGAGGCGTGGAGGAGACTGAACGTTAAGCCTTTCTGTTCTCAATTTGTAGTGCAAATTTACATGGGCAAAGGGAAGCCGGACAAGCTGAGATCATAACTAAACCAACAAATCAATTATCAAATAGGTCAGTTCTGTATAGAGTTTCCAAGTAATGTGTTAAATCTAATGTAATTTATGGGAAACTAAAATAAATCCATTTTAATGAAGCAATAGGGGTAGTTTCCTCAAGTTTTCTCCCCATTTAGTTTTCCCTAGTATTTGTTTTCCTTATTTCCCAAAATATTTCGTTTCATTAATTATTTCTTACCAATATTCCTAATTGCTCAGTGGGGTTCAGTCATGCATATGAATTATTTCTCTTAAGCTTTTCTTTGACGAAACTTGTATTCAGCTGGCAGCCAAACAAAAGGATTTCCCGAGAATTTTCCCTCCCCTAACCCTTCACCGCTTGCCTATTTTCACCTTGCCTTTTGTACCGCCAGCCAGGCAGTCAGTCAGTCAGTCAATCAGTCCATTCCGCCATTCTCTAGGTCGTTCATTTGTCTATCTCTACTATAGCGTATATAGACTGAAAAAGTAGTATAGTTCAGGCAGGAATAGAGTGAGGAGAGCTTTGGCTTTAGCGGCGACATCGCGTGGTTGTGTTAAATAATTGTGTCAATATTTGAGTTTCATTATTTTGTTCCATTTTGCGGGGCGCTCATGAAAATCTACTTATCTCTTTATGTGTACGTTTATATACGATCTAACAAATAAATACGCTGGCCAGCAGCGAGCAGAGCAACCGAAGCGAGAGCAATTTCAGATTAGTTTTATTTTTTGCGAATCTCTTTTTTTGTCTAGCGAAAATTCTGCAATTATCTGAGATTTATGTGGGGAGGGAGAGGTTTTTGGATTGTCTTTGTGCTATGGGAACCAAAATACAAAAAAATTCGGTCATGAGTGGGCTTTACTTATATGGAAGTAATTGCTCAAGTATTTACTTTTTTTAATAGAAAGAATCAGTTCATGGCAGACATAACTTCAATTAAATTGAGGAAAAAGTGAAATTATATTGTTTTAAACAATTCTTTTTATTTATTGTTTAACTTGAATGCACGGTATTGTTACTAAGGGTTGGTTTTAACTATTGAAACAACTTCTACAGTATGAATATGCCATGTTTGTGAAGTGCTTGTGGAAGTTTTTTAAAAAATGAATACTTTTTGGTACATAATAAGAGATTAAGCATTTATTTTGTACTTTAAAATGGATGTCAGTTTAAATTGTATCTCAAATATATACTTAAGTTGGTAGATGACTCCCATTATCTCATGTTATTGGCATTAAGAAATGTCTCGTAGAATGAAACTAGGAAAATGTTCTTAGCAGGCAATTTTAATATTTATGGCTTTCATCTTTGAATTTATTTATATTACTGCACTTTTGCTTTCATTTTTGTGCATTCACGTCTGTCGCGAGTTCAACGACTCTAAAACTGCAAATGGCTTTGCATCGCATTTGTGTGGGCGAGTGCGAGAATCTCCCCACAAACTTTGTATTGCAAATCTATAAATAGTGCCGGGATCTATCAGCGAAAACGACTGAGTTATGATGACTGACTAATTGGGCGACTGCCTTTGATCCTATTATGGGAGCAGAAGCTCCAGCAGCAGCAATACACACTGGCAGAGTCAGAAAGTAGGAATAAATACAATCACATCATGACGTAGTCGTCAATGGCAGCCATCAGGCAACATCGCGGGCAGGAAAAAGCCAACCGACGACTGCCAACAGTAAGCGGATAATGAGGTCACAACACATGGGACTGGGCTGGGCAAGGGCTGTGCCAAATAAAAAAAAAACAAAAAACAAAATCATCAAACAAACAAAACCAAATGAATATTTAGGAATGATGAAAAAATTGGCAAAATTCGCACACAAACACATGCACTGCCCCAGACATGGTTCCCAAAACAAAAGGGTGGCCCAGTGGTAGATACAAAATATAAAAAAAAAACTACTGTGGGCATGACAAGCATTTCCAATAGTGCCCAAAATAAATTGTCAAACATTGAAGAAGTGATAATCAATTATATATTACATTGAAGGTTACAGAGCAAGTTTTAAGCTATATATGAACTGGTTTGGACATATAATTAATACATGTACACAAATTTTATTAAATAATAGCAGACATTTGCATCTATATGGAATAGGTGTCTTACCTTTATTCTGATTCAATATTGGGCTATATTTGTTATTTTAAACCTTTATCTAAAGACTATTTGTCTTACAACAAAGTATTAAAAAGTTTATACTCTTTACATTAAAGTTCTATCTAAAAAATGCAAACTCTGGGTTAATATCCACTGTAAATAAATATTATACTCAATACACTTTCGAAATGAAATGCTTTCACGTATGTGGGTGGTCTTAGCAGCAGTCTATGTAGTTGGGAAATGTAGAAAGGCCTCCCCAAGCACAACGTCATCGTTTACACAACATACCGCAATCGCGCTAAAAGTGGCTGGGCAGAGAGAATTGGCCAACACAGGAAAGGCAAGGGGAATTGGGGTAAGGGTCTGAAAGCTATAAGACAAGGAAACGGAAAGAAAGAATATTTGGCCAAGAGCTTAAAGGGCTTTAAAGTGTGTGTCGCGTCCCAACATCATGGAAGGCCAGGCATGGCGTCATTAGCAAATATTTGGGCAGGCTCAGGACAGGTTCGTGGTCGTTGCCGTCGTCACCGTTGTCCTTACTAGAAGTGTGCATGTGAGAGAGAAAAATCAAATGTTACATTTACTTCCTAGGCTTCCTTTTGAGTTGTCCAAACCAATCCGGCATTTGGCAAATCGAACTCGAGCTGTCCAAAGGTGTTGTCACCTCGCATACTCATCATTTGGTCGTGCTCTGTCTTTTCAGGTAATGGAGAGGCGTCCTGGTGCTTCTCACAGATTAAAGGCGCCTTAGACGATGATGTCACGGATGCAGACATCATATCCTGCGTGGAATTCAATCACGATGGCGAGTTGCTGGCCACCGGCGACAAGGGCGGTCGCGTCGTCATCTTTCAAGTGAGTAAACCTTTGTTGGTTTCTGTATTTCTTGTACCTTCAACTATTATTTCCTTTCAGCGAGATCCTGCCTCGAAAGCCGCCAATCCGCGACGCGGCGAATACAATGTCTATTCGACATTCCAATCGCACGAGCCCGAATTCGATTACCTCAAGTCGCTGGAGATCGAGGAGAAGATCAACAAGATTCGGTGGCTCCAGCAAAAAAATCCCGTGCACTTTCTGCTCTCGACCAACGACAAGACGGTCAAGTTGTGGAAGGTCAGTGAGCGCGACAAGTCGTTCGAGGGCTACAACACGAAGGAGGAGAACGGCCTGATCCGGGATCCACAGAATGTGACGGCACTGCGTGTGCCCTCCGTGAAGCAGATACCGCTGCTTGTGGAGGCATCGCCGCGCCGCACCTTCGCCAATGCACACACCTATCACATCAATTCAATTAGCGTTAACTCCGACCAGGAGACCTTCCTCTCGGCCGACGATCTGCGCATCAACCTCTGGCACCTGGAGGTGGTCAATCAGAGCTACAACATCGTCGACATTAAGCCAACCAATATGGAGGAGCTGACGGAGGTGATCACCGCGGCCGAATTCCATCCGACCGAGTGCAATGTGTTCGTTTACTCGAGCTCCAAGGGCACAATACGATTATGTGATATGCGTTCGGCGGCGCTATGCGACCGGCACAGCAAACAGTTTGAGGAGCCCGAGAATCCAACGAATCGCAGCTTCTTTAGCGAGATAATTAGCTCCATCAGTGATGTGAAGCTAAGCAACTCGGGTCGCTACATGATCTCCAGGGATTACCTGAGCATCAAGGTGTGGGATCTGCATATGGAAACGAAGCCCATTGAGACCTATCCGGTAAGTCTGTAGCAGAATATTGTATCTTACATCCCAGTGCTAATTGTTGTCGTTGCAATTTATGCAGGTTCACGAATACCTGCGCGCCAAGCTGTGCTCACTGTATGAGAACGACTGCATCTTTGACAAATTCGAGTGCTGTTGGAATGGCAAGGATAGTTCGATAATGACCGGGAGCTACAACAACTTCTTCCGCGTATTCGATCGCAACTCGAAAAAGGATGTGACGCTAGAGGCGTCCAGGGACATCATCAAGCCGAAGACGGTGCTGAAGCCACGCAAAGTTTGCACTGGTGGCAAACGGAAGAAGGACGAGATCAGCGTGGACTGTCTCGACTTCAACAAGAAGATACTGCACACCGCCTGGCATCCTGAAGAAAATATCATTGCTGTGGCTGCGACCAATAATCTATTCATATTTCAGGATAAATTTTAGCCAACACTCTACTACGCAGCAGCAACAACAACACCATACGCCACAATCACACCAACAACAACAACTACAGAAACAACAACAACTACGAAAGCAAACACGCCTCATTCTAATGTTAATTCAATCGGTTTGTTTCAGCCGCCTTTTCAAATTTCCCTCGCAATTCAACTGTTTGCCTAACATCATTACCTCAGTCACTCATCCCACTCCCCCTCTTCTCAAAAAAAAAAAAAAAACAACCATCGTACACACACAAACACATAATGCCATAGCAAAAGCTTTGTAATGTATATCTTTGAATCGAGAAATAAGAAACAAGAAATGATCAACTTTAAAGCAAATAAGAAAGGGAAACAAATTTTTATACATAACATTTTGATGCGTAAAGTTGATTTCTTGTAGCTCAATTCAAGGAAGATCCCCATAACAAGGGTAACATATTTAATAATGATGATAACGATTGATTTGCCCCGAAAGTTCTTTGTAATAATTAGCGCCAGCGCCGAAGTATTTGTAATAAATGATAATAATAATAATATATCTAAAAAAGAAAAAAAAACATACAAAACTAAAATTGTGAAAACTGTGCATATTGTAATATTTTTTCTGTTCGCTTGTTGTTAAGTTTACGATGAAAAATAGGAAAGAAAACACATACACACACCCACACACATTGTGCTCCCTGTTTGCTCTTCTTTATATAAACACAGATTATATTCCGAAGTAAATTCGTTTTGCGATAGCGTTCATTCCATGCAAATTATGTCTCATTTAAAAATCTCATCATGCAATTCGAACAGCAACCGAGGAAGTGTTGTGTGTCGTCTCACAGTCAAGAAACCAATTCAAAAATGCTCATTTTAACAAATCTAATTCACTAAGAAGAAGTCAAGCAGCGAGAAGTCAACGCAGAGGCAGAAGCGCGGAAGGAGTACGAAAAATAAATGCATTGATATCGTGTGTATTTGCAGTTAATACGATATACATGTACATCTATACAGCCTAAGTTAAAAATACAATTTAGTGTTCTCAATTCGTTTAATTTAATAATTATCGTATCTGAAATGAGAAGCAAAAGCAAGAAATGAGATAAAAACAAACAAGAAAAAAGAAACAACACTATTTTTATACGCTACATTTTAAGCTATAGTATTGCTACTTTTAGTTCAACTATGCGTGCGTGCGTCCAAGACCAATTCTCACATATAGTCCGAACCGATCCCAGCCCCCAGCCCCCACGCCACCCCCCCTCATTTTCCATCGGTCAACGACTTTTCCAGCCTGTTTATTGTTTTTTTTGTAAAGTTTCCTTTAATCATTGTCATGTTTTCCACAAAAAAGAACTATAAACAAAACGGAACCATTTTTGATAGGTTATCTAGTGTCTAGTGTTAACAACAACAAAATTTAATATATATATATATAAACAAACAATAAATAAAAGTAAAGAGAAAGTTAATAAATAAACGATGCGCTGAAAAAAATGTTAAACGAGAAACTACAAAATGTACGGCAGCAGCAGCAAGTTCAAAATATTGAAATGTAAACGCATAAAATGATGAAATAAAAACTAAAACAACATAAACTGTGCTTCTTATGAGAATAATGATAAATACACATACAAATAATATTGTATTTTCCATAAACTAGAGGGACAGCCGACTTAAAAATTGATAACAAAATAAGAATTCAGTGGAAATTGGCTAATACCTTGAGTGAAAATCGTCTGTAAACCTTTTCCAATCTCTCAATGCAATTCTTTGTTTGCCATTATCCCCATTATTTTTGTTTCATTTTCTTTTGCAACGCACATTTTATAATCATAAATCTTTGACATGCCTTTTTGTAAATAAAATCGCAACAAAAACAAAACAAAAGAGATAAGAACTTAAAGCGTAAAAACATTATTCATGTAATGAAATAAAATCCAAAGCAAAGCAAAGTCGGAGCAGTAGAGAAACTGTTGCAGTTGCAGTGCGGATGAAAACGCAAACAAGACAACAAATTGCAATTGATTAGTTTTAAAAAAACATTAATTGAATTGCTATTCATAATAAAGATCAAATAAAAGCAAACTTAAGGATACCATTTAGTTTTGCAAGCAAAGAAAATTGATAAAAATAATTCAAATGTGTGTTTTTATAGGGTATAGAGAGGGAAGCAAACTTAAATCTCTCGTATTTCAGAATATTTATTTGTATTATCTGTTCGGTTTATTTAAACAAAATGTGAAGAAAAAGGGTAAGTATAAGTTACAATTTAACATTGCAGTTGGGAGCCTAAAACAACGAGAACATGCATACATAGGTAATAAATCATTAAATAACTTTTCAGATTACAACGATTTTAAACAAAATGATGTAACATTAAATGAAACAAACAAAACAAATTATATAGTACTACAGAAATTACAATATGCTGCAGGGTTACTAGAAATAAATAAAGACAATACATGATACAGAATTTGAAAACATTTAGAAAATAAAATTTTAAATATTAATTATTAATAACATTATTTTAAATTTTAATTATAGGTAAATCTTGTAAACAAAAATGTGGAAAAGCAACGAAGATATAAAAATGTCTGATTATTTTTCTATAACAATTCTAGGGTCATTAAAAATAACCAAAGTGACAAAATAAGCACCTAAAATTAAAAACCTTTAAAAAGTTTTAATAATTAAAAATATTAATTTCGATATATTGACATTAGATGTGTTTATAAAACAGAAAACGGTGCGAAAATATTAAACAACCTTCAGGATTTATTTAAAATCTTGCATATTAATTAGGTAAATAAAATTTTTCGATGAGTGCTTTAAAAACAAATTTCTTGAAGAAGTAATTGATCAAAATCAACCCTTTAAATCTTAATTTCTCATTTTTGTTAGTTTTATTTGAATTTTTGAGTATATTAATATTATATGTTTGTATGTATGTTAAAACTCCTCTAGCACATCTCGTTTTCCAAATGCAGCCAAGTGCCGTTACTGGGCACTCTTAGCCATTTCAATGCCAGGCACGCATGCGCACAGCCAAAGAGAGAACGCCTGATAGCGATAGAGAGAGAGAGAGAGAAAGAGCAAAGCTCACTCAAAAGACAAGCAAAACGCTTGAGCTGCGAAGAAACCCAACCAAAATAACGACGGCTTGAAGTCTCTCAGTTGACTCAGATCGGTTGGACAGTGCGGTTCGTTTTTGACTTCGGCTCGAAAGCAAAAACTGAAGAAAAAGCATAAAAAAACGCCGGAACTGCGGCCTAAACCTGTTTTGGCAAAGTGAACGCAACAACAATAGCAGCGAAAACGCATGCAAGTGACGAAACGACCTTAAGCAAAAGCCAGAAAAAGATTAAAAATATATTACTCTTGGCTCCTCAATTAAAAATATATTTTGTGCTTGTATCAAAGAAATTCGATGACGCAGTGTTCGAGGGAAAACCCCCAAAATGTAAAATAAACAAATAAGCGTCGCAGAAATAGAAAACGCAACCAAAATTATCAAATCAATACGCGTACGTGGCCAAGGAAGTGGGAGTGTGAAGGAACACATCTGCTGAAGCAGGAAAAAAATTAAAAAATAAAAAATGACATTGAGCAACAATGTTCTTTGTCTGCAATTGCAACGCCGCTTACTATTGGTATTTGTAACGCTTTTCCTGCTACTAACCGCTGCCCGTAAGTCCATAAACTAATTAAATTGCAAATCTTAACAAGAAAATAAACATTAGCAACAACAACAAGGCAAAATGCAAAAGAAAGAGAAATTTTATAGGCGTTACGCTCGAAACGGGGCGAAAAACAAATTCACTTTCGTGTAAAACTAGAGAAACTGGTCTAGTCTCTTGGCCTTATGTCTTAGCGTTCCCGCCAGGGGGCGCCATCACCTGCCCGGCGGAGTGTCTGCAGTCCGTCAGAAGCCGAAAATTGTTGGCTTATTAGTCACATCGATAAATTCGAAAACGAGTTTGTTGTCACAAGTCTTTTGTTTTACCGGCTTTGCTTTTGAATTTCCCAACCACATCTTATCTCATTAGTGGCCCAGGGCGAGGAGGAGGAGGATGGACCATATCGCGGCAAATATCTGGGAAAACTCAACTCCTACCATCATCAAGTATCCGGCGATGTGTACGCCGTGAATGAGTTTACCTTCCTCATTGTGGGCTTTAACTACGACGGCAACGGGGCGGATACGTTCTTTTGGTCGGGAGCCAGCAACCGGCCGGGACCTCAGGGATTTATTGTTCCCGATGAGTATGGCAAGTAAGTGGACAGGGATTGACTTTGATAATTATAATTAAACCTTAAGATAATAATATAAAATATATATAGTTAAATTATACAACGTATTACATATCATTTTAACGTAATTTGAGTTTATAGAACTATTTTTTCGTACAATAAAGAAAAATTCCAACTTATAACAATTAATTAGAACATGCGATGAATAGTGTGTACTTCTATTTTTGTAAATTAAATTAAATTCTATTCTTATCTATATAATTATAACCAAATTATATATTATATTCAATGTTTTTACATGAATCCAATTCTAATAACAAACCCTTTTAGAACAAATATCTTGGATCGCTATCACAACAAGGACTTTACACTGACTCTACCCGATCGGAAGAAGATTACTGAAATCAAATGGCTGGCGGTCTATGATCTAAATAACCAGAACAACTTTGGGGACGTCTATATACCAGAGGATTTTGAGCCTCCAATGGCCCAACTGGGTGGTACCTTCTCCAAGCGTAGTCACAATGTGAGCAGCAGCAGCATCCAGATCCTGGACTCGAAAACCATTCGGATCAAGGACTTTACGTACGATGGTCGCGGCAAGAGAACCTTTTTCTGGACCGGCGTCGGAGCGCAGCCATCGAGTCGAGGCAGCAAATTGCCAGATGAACGAGGATAGTGAGTATATTAGCTTTTATCCATACCTAAAATTAGAAACATTATTATCCTTGTAACATTTCAGCCTGGATCCTATTAGAAAGTATAACATGGAGACTATTGATTTGCAATTGCCTGGTGACAAGACCATCTTCGACATCGACTGGATCAGTGTGTACGATGTGGCCGATAACGAGAATTATGGTCATGTGCTGATAAACGATGGATTGAATGTTCCGCCGTCTTTGGTAAAGGTTATACCCTTCGAGTTCTCGCTGCCCAACTGTCGGCAGCTGCACAAGGATCTGCAGGTGTCGTGGGAGGTCTTTGGACCCCAGATCACATTCCAATTGTCCGGTCAAGTGGCAGCCAATGATTACATGTCCTTTGGCATATCAGGATCCGATGTGTCGAGTCAAATGATCGGCTCCGATGTGGTGGTGGCCTATATAGACGAGATCCGTGGGTACTCTGTGGACTACAACATCACCTCGCTGGCGCCATGTGTCCAGGTTTTGGGACAAAACAAGGGAGTTTGTCGGGACGATGTAGTCGGTGGATTGGACAGCTTTCAGCTGAACACTTATGCCCGCAAGGATGGCATTAATACGATAAGTTTCCGACGCCTCCTTAAGTCGTGTAAGTTGAAGATTTACGAGTTACTAGTTGCTAGTTATTATATACTCGTTACTAGTTACTTTTTGCTAGTTTCTTTATACTCGTTACTAGTTGCTGGGTTTTTTTATTATATTCTTGCCTTTGTTTACCTTTCAGCGGACGATGGCGATAAGGAGATTTTCCTAGACCGAAGCAACTACGTGGTCTGGGCCTTTGGTCAGTTGGATTCAAACAACGAGCCCGCCTTTCACACTTATTATCCCAAGAGTGACATTGTGATAGATTTTAATACCACGGAACCGGTGAACGATTGCTTTGCGTTCACTTCACAAAAGGAGACTCCGCCGCAGCTGTGGGAACGTACCAGGATAACAGATGCGTAAGGATCAAGGATCCCTCAATAAAGCATATTTAATTCGTTTATTCTTCCCACAGCTCCTTGCGTAGCTTCAACGCTTATCTGGGACCCTCTGGAGGACTTCGGGGCTATCAGGGCTTAACTGGACATGTGTCCAGTGGATTGGCCTGGTACATCAATGGCTACATGATACCCGAGCTGTACCTGAAACGCGGCCTGACCTACACCTTTAATGTGAGAGGAGGCAATAATCCCCACTCGCCGGAGCACTATCATCCGCTGGTCATCACCGACGATCCCCAGGGTGGCTACGATCGACTCTCGGATGCCAAACAGAGTGAGATCAGGGTTTTGGCTGGAGTGGAGTTCACCAGGAGAGGAAGGCCTAAGCCCACGGCTGCCGGTCCCTTGTGCTTGTCCCGATATCCACCCAATTACGATCGCCGCCTGGACGACATCTTTCCCACATTCAAGAAGTTCAATCGATCTCTGATCACCGAATGTGTGGATGAAGCACCGGCGCTCTTAGAGATTACCCCGAACATAACCTGGCCGGATACGGTGTACTACAACTCCTTTACTCATGGAAACATGGGTTGGAAGATTCACATTGTGGACAGTTATACAAATCTGAGGAATGGAGCGAGAGCCCTGACCTGGTCCCTTGCCATCCTCCTGCTGCCTTGGCTGGTGCTCCAGTACTGACCGTTACCTCCCTCTCCCTGTTAGTTTTTCCTAATCGTATATTTAGTGTCTTAGTTTAAATTAAGCAGTCACAATTTCATGTATATGATGCGCGCGTATGTGAGTTCGAGTTTAGACATAGAAAAGATAGGTTTGCATAACTATGTTTTAAGACTTTTATGTGCAATATTGCAGAAGACTTATTCAAATACTCTTATGTTTTACATATTCAAAAAAGTCTTAAGCTCATTTTTTATGCCTAGACTCAATGTGTGCTCATGTTATGTATATTATTATTTAAATCTTATTTAAATACAGATCTGTGTTGTATTTTATAATGAATTAATACAAGCTAAGTAATAAACAATCTAAATTGTGTTTGCTGTCAACAAATTTATAAAAGATATCTCATCATGTTGTAGTAGGTTTTTAAATATAATGATTTAGACTGCCGGGATAAAAACTAGTATACTTTTTAAAAAAATAATAATATTAAAATTTTAAATATATACCACTTGAAATTTAATACCACTTTTTAGATGTGAATATTTTCCAGCACAGAAAAATTAATAATCCGCTTGGCAACACTGCCGCAAACCGGCAATTCGCCACTCGTTGCGTTTTCAGTTTAGTCAAAAAGGAGCGAGTAAAACCCATGCGGCATTTTGTTTTCGGGAAGTGAAGAACTTTTTCATCAAACTCGTGTTTAGATCTTTTAAAAAACGTGTTTAACGCTATGAATTTGTTTCAAAATAGTTAATTAAGTGCATAGCTTTGTTCTTGAGTGATTGTGTTTGATATTTAGTAATTTATACCGATTAGAAGCAATTCGTAAGTGCTTCGCTTTTATAAGTTTTGTGTGTTGTTGTTTTGTCATCAGCGTTGACGCCTATTTACAACTAATCATAATTATAAAGGTAAAGAGAAAAGTTAAATTTTTCAAATATACAACAGTATTTTCGATATAATATTATTATGTTTGGTATACCATTACCCATATAACAGGTTCCAGATATTTTGATTCTGGGTCTTGTGTACTATCCAATGAAACACGAGTACTTATTGACAGTAAACTGTAAACTATTCAATTTATTGATTAGATTTGCTTTTTACTCGAAAGTTCAGTAGATAATTATTCGATTCGGCTTATGCAACACGCGTGTGCTAAACGAACTCAATCCATCGGTCTCACAGAAATTTTTATTAAAATACTTGGTGTGTGTATGGGGCCAGAAGAACAAAATTTCAGCCCCAGACAGCACACGACACGTGCACATACATAGGTTATACATGGTCTAAAAGCTTCGACAATCATAAGAAATTTAGGGAACAAATGCTTTCGAACCGAATTCCGCTTAAATAAGGGAATGGCATCGAGTCATTTTAGCGCCCTTTGACATTTTTTGCAAATTCACATTCGGTTATCGAGTTCGATTTTAGTGGTTCAACAAGTGTGTATCAATTAGTTATTCTAGTTGTATGTATATATGTATATATAGTATATATTTAGTATATTTTCAGGCGTAATTGTATGCATGTAGATAATGTGTAAACTTTATTGGCGTTACAATGAGTTGCTCCTCTCGCGTTTCCTAGGCTCTAATAATCATCAAACAGCAGTGGAGAATTGTGTTCTCTGTTAGGTTAAGTACTCAGATCCGCACTTGGCTTGTTGTAAGTTCTCTAAAATATTAAATTTCGGATACTCCCGCTTCTAACCTTCTCTCTCTATATATAGTTTTTAATATCACGTTCATCGATTACACTTTTTGCTTGTTCTGCTTTACATTGTTTGTTCTGTTTGTTGATTCTGTTTCACGAATGGAGTTTAAAACTACTTTAAGCCAATTTAACAATAGATATAGGATATCTGTATATATATATATGCATTTAATATAGAGCGAGACAAAACGGACAACCGCCACTGGTCAAATTTTGAAAAATCCGAAAGGGGGCTTAGACATCGACCTAAGAAACGCCATCAATTTTGACATAAGACATACGACACGTTTACCGCTCCCAGTTCCGCTGTATCCTATTCACGGCTCATGGTTTTTTACAAACTTCTCCAGCTGTCGGTGCAGCTGATTGTGATAGGGTATCCGATTTTTGCTAATCACCGTCGCCGCCAGACACTGCAGCGTCACAAAGTTAAGCAACGGAATGGTGCTGGTGGGATTTGATGCTATTAAGTCATAGGGCCGCTTGTCGGCCCTATTCGGCTGATCGATGTCAGCTCCACACTTGAGCAACAGGTGCACAATCTGGTATAAGTTTGTTTGTTAGCTTTGTTACAAAGTCTCTTCGTTGGGAGGACCACTCACCTCATTGTCATAGTTGTAGGGCTGGCATGCTACATGCAGGGGCGTGGATTTGGCCTCGTTCTTGATGTTGACATCAACGCCGCACTGGATGAGCAGCTTGATGACATCCGCATTGGGGAACACAGTCTTCTAAAAGGGATTAAAATGTGGTAGTCAGTACTTATACACTTAAAGGAGCTAAATAGCACGCACATCGGCAAAGTTGTCGTCGGTGATGTAGCCGCTCTTGATGACATTCAACCGCGAGGCACAGAGGTGGAGCAGGGTATCGGCGGTGCTGGCACTGCGCAGATTGCCCACCACAACCGTCTCGTGATCGCCTGATAGATGAGCTTATTCTGCTCCTCCGTGTGGACGGTATTGATCAGCAGATAAATGAGATGCGCCAAGCATCGCATTACGCGATCATAGTTCTCCTGCTGTCGCCTGAACACTGGCCTCAGAAGCAGCAGGTGCTTCACCACAATAGCGCTTTCAGACAACGTACGAAATACCCCGAGCACATCCTCGAACCGGGGCAACACATTTCCTGGTGGACAAACCTGGCCCTCGCATCGCTCCTTATGTGGCTTGAATTCTGAACATGGAGATCCAGCATCAGACGCACCAGTGCTTGTGCCGCAAAACAGGTCTCAAAGTGCAGGATGGACCAGTTCGACACTCGCACCTCGAGCAGGAAACGCCACAGGTCTATGCAACGCTGCAGCTGCAGAGAATCCGCATAAGAAGCTCCCCTGTAATTAATATATTAATTCGGCATTTTGGAAAGTATTTAGGGCAACACTCACCTAAAAGTTAGCCGAAAGAGCATGTCTTTATGGGTTAGACCCAATACACGCTCGCAAATGAGCAGGCTCTGCGTCCGCATTGCGTCCATATCGGTGGCGATGTTGTCAACTCCTCCAGTGTGCTAAACTCCACTGCGTTCTCGTAAGCACTTCGCAGTGGCACCTGCGGCTTCTTCTCTATATACGGCGAGTATGCCGCCCGAATGTGATGCGCCATGCGCCAGTGCAGTATGCACACACGCGACTCGTTGTGCTCGTCCAGGAACGTCGATCCCATCAGCTCGTGTGCCTCCGCCAGCCTTCCAGCCGTATAGCTCAGCTCCTTTTTCAAAAAGTCAAAGATATGATGGGCTCCCTTCAGGCAGGCAGTACGCAGGGCATCGTCCCCATAGCGACTTTTGGCATACGGATCGGCTCCTTGTTCGATTAGCATTCGAGTAGTATCCAACCGGTGCTCCTGGATCGCATAGTGCAGTGCCGTCTTATCCTGGATGTCCCGGGCATTTATGTCCGCTCCCTTGCGCACCAGATACAAACATAGTTGGACGGACTGCACCGAGTTAATGAGACAGGTTCCGCCATTAATGTTTGGCCGTTTGATGTCCGCTCCATTTTCCACCAGAAATTTGACTGAAAAAAGGGAGAAATAGAAATCTTGGTTAAAATGCTTATTCTTAAATTTAATAGCCTGCAAGACAAAAAGAAGCTGTACCTTTCTCTACACCAATTTAAATACAATAGATAAAATGTATACATTATGCAATTATGATTTGCCAAAAGTAAAGCAGATACTGAATGTCAAATTTAATAATTTTTGAAGGGTAAATGCTCTATTTTTCTGTTAAATGATTTAGAATTGTTCTGCAAAGAACATAAATTTGTATTTAATGATGGGATCTGACCATCTGCTGAAAGCCCTCTCTGGCAGCGGATGGGATTCATTTAAGGTGGTGCTTTGAACACTTTAAAGTGGAGTAAGCTGTTGTGGTGTGCGGCCAATCGAACAATAAACGAATGGATTGCGTGCGGTACAATTCAAATTACAGGGAATGAGAGCCTAAATCAAACACCCCGCTAACTGGTTTCATACGCTGAATTCCTAGACTATAATTCAAGGAAAGAGAAAACGAAACTATACTAACAATCGATATTGTATACATGAGGTACAACTGTCTAACCTTAACCCTCAAGGCCCCAAACATAAGAAAGAGATTCTTTTTGCAATAAGCACTAAATTCAACTATAAATAAATCAAGTTACGCAGTTTAAATTAATTAAATGTTTGTCAATATTCAATCTAATTGATTACATTTTAATTCGTTTACATAAAGTTTCTTTGTTTAAGCTTCTGTCAGCTTCAGCTCTAAATCGGTGGTAGAAAATATTTTACGGATTCAATCAATAACATCTCACCAATATCGACGTGTGTCATGTAGCATGCACTCCTAACGGGCGTCGATCCCGAATCCGAGGTAGCATTTATATCGCAACCGATCCGCACCAGATATTTGACCATGGATAGCTTTCCGGAGACGACGGCCGCCCATAGCGGCGAGACGTAATGGAAACTATTGTCCTCTGGCACTTCAAAGTGTCCCCTCTGCTCGATATCCGCCTCGCAGATGGTAATTAGATATTCGGCAATTACAACGGCGCCTCGCTTGCAGGCAATAAAAAGAGGAGCGCAACCATTCCGCTGCTTTCGTACCAACTCGCGACGAGAATCGCGGGGAAGCCTGCATCAAAAGAAAGAATTGTAGTTTAATGGGATATTTAGGAAACGAGTTACATTACACACTTTATTTTCTGTGTAATGTTAGGGTCAGCGAATCGGAAATAACTCTTGATCAGCACGTGCAGGGGCAATGATTTGGTTCGGTCTCTATTGATAAGATGAAGCGTTCAACGACGTCGAACCATTTGGCACTTTTAGTATAATATTCTGGCTTGTGATTAGGGATTTATGATTGCTAATTACGTCACTTAAATTTAGTCAATTTAAACAATGATAGCTACTTAAGCTATCATTAAATATTTTAAACATTACTTTATCATTGACTTTGTTTAAAAAGTGGGTATAATTTTCGAATAATAATAACAAAAGACAGTTACATTTTTTCTTAGCAGAGCTCAGAATGATAGAATGCAGCATAAATTACGATTTAAATAAACATAATTAATTTTAAGTGCAGTATGTTGCTATCTATTGCCCTTCGTGAGAAGTTCTAGATAGCAAAAGTCCACAAAACTTGTTCATATCTTTGAATACAAATTAACCGCTTAAAGGTTATTGGATTGAACTCTTACTTCGTAATACACATAAGAAGAGGGTTTTCTATAATATTAATAGATTGATAATAACTATTAAATATGTAAAACTTTTTCAAACTCTAGAAAAATATATGCTTTCGGCTTGATAATAGGGTTTCTCAGAAGAAAATAAGAACCTACTCATCTATGTGCTCATAATTTCCGTCTTAATTTCATGGCTCCTACTCTATCAAAACAAAACCGACTGAGTACACTGCAAGTTAATTTGGTCCCTGTAATTACATACTTTTCCAGCTCGTGTCGCAGATGGCGCGATAGCAGCGAGTCCTCCTGGCTGCGTTTGCACTCTTCGATCAGTTCGTGACTTAGCTTGGTCAGCTCCACCTTGGGACTGCTCTGCTTTCGTTCGTTTGCCATCTGTGGCAGTTGGCCCGCCTGCGATTCCTGGAGTTCCTGCTCCTGGCACTGGCGGTGGTGCTGGTGCTGCTCCTGCTCTGATACCCGCTCCGGCTGCTCGACCCGACGACGGCTGCCTTCAAGTGAGCGCATTGCCAGCGCACCGTCTCATTGCCAATGGGATGTGCTTGACTGTGCTCGTGTGTGTGCGTGTGTCTATGCGCTGCAGTGACTACGGCTGTGGGGGTGAGTTTCCTGGATGTCCTTGGGCCACTGCCCCTTGCAAAAACGGTGCGGCAGTGACCTACTGAACCAGGCGAACCAACTTGGACTATCCGGCTAATTGGGTTGCCGTCGCTGCCGTTCTGCTCCCGTTTTTCGCCCAAGGCCGTTCCGAGTACTTTCTTTTTTTCTCTCTGTATCCGTAGCTTTCTGTTGCTCGTTTCTTTCTCTCTAAATCAATTTCTTGTGCAGCGTGCAAACTGGCTGCATGTAACCGCTACTCCCACGGGATATCCGCAACTCGGCGTGTGTGTGTTTTGTGTGTTTGTTGGGTGTTAGTGTGTGGTTGCGCCTTGCGGCTTAACCATGTCTTTCCGTGTTTTCTGTTTATAAATAAAAAGTCAGCAAAAAATCTTAACGTCAAAACAGTGTGTACACAACTTGGAGGGGTGACAATAACTGAAACAGCTGCTTTAACAGACAGTCTGTTTTGGTCAACAGCTTTGTAGTGTTGCCATATCGCGAGGAGCTAGGACTTTCGCACTTTCGAGTAAATCTTCGCATCCCTCTTATTAGTATTATATATGCTTACAAGTTTTGCGCGGAAAATTGCATTTTTATGATAGAAGGATTTCAACCTCACAAGGTAATAGAGAGTTAAAATTGGGGAATATCTTTGGATAGTATGGCAACGACAATGCCATTTGCGATAGATTTAAGTGTGACTATCGATGTATCGATATATCGAGTTATTATATAGTATCGATTGTTACTCTAAGCGACGCGCTGTTCCGAAAAATTGCCGAAATTGTTGTTTGTGGACTAAATTTGTGTAATAAAGGGCAATGGAAACTCCAGCGGCAGCCGAAATCGCACAAATTGGAAAGTTGGAGGTGTTCCGGAAACTAAATCTCCTGGAGCAGCATCGCGTGAGAGCTTCAAGGACTGGCCCTTTCCCGAGACATCGCCCTGCAGCATTTCCAAGGCAAGAGCGCGAGCATTGAAGGGTTTTGAGGTTGTTTATAGTAACTCCCACTTACAGATGGCCGAGGCGGGATTTTATTGGACGGGCACCAAGCGGGAGAACGACACGGCCACTTGCTTTGTGTGCGGAAAGACCCTCGATGGCTGGGAATCGGATGATGAACCCTGGAAGGAGCACCTCAAGCACGCCCCACAATGCGAGTTCGTGAAGGTGGGATGCGCAGAAAAGGAGTTAACAGTGAGTTAGACGAGTCTATGATCCTATGTGTCAATACCTAAAACTACGATATCCCCTTATTCAGGTCACTCAATTCCTCGAAATCCTTGGAACCGTCGTCAAGGGAAGCATAATTAAAAACGTAAAGACCTTTAAGCTTAATTTTACCCGGGAAAACGAGACTCGACTTGAAGAGTTTATGCAACAATCCAAATAGTGCGCTAATATAAACATTTTATAAATTTTAACATATCTAACATTAATATTTAGTTAACAGTATGTGTACAGAAATTTGCTAATAAAACAAGGTGGCAACGCTGAGAAAAAGAAACAAAAACAAACCTTAAGTCCTCCCTGGTAAACTCGCATTTGTTTCTAATTTAATTGCGCGGATCCCGCAAAACTCGCCGATATGTTGAAACGGAAATTGGAACAGCAGAGGGATCATCTGGAAGATAAGGACGATCCCAAGAAGCCGGTTTCAATAGAGGGAACCACAATATCAGATTTTTTTGGCTCGCCGCTGTGGTTAAAGTTCTATAACACGGAAAACAAGTTAAACGAGACGCTGGATGAGCTAGACCCGCCTTCAGGCATTCAGTGCATGTATAACCCTATAGTATACGCCTTACAATTGCATTGTGACTATCTACGTCGTTATTTAAACGGAGCGAAGAAGCTGGTTTTCATAGGCATGAATCCGGGCCCCAATGGAATGGCTCAGACGGGCGTAAGTCGGGGATTAATACTTATACTTTTCCATATCGTTATGTATATTTGAACTTTGTTCTTCAAAAGCGGCATTATTCTCGAGCGATGTCAGGCCAATCGATCTATCATGTCTAGATAACAAAGTTATTACACGACATATTTAATAAACCAAGCGTTTTGTTCGTTTTCCAGATACCCTTTGGTAATGTTCGAACTGTTAAGGTGCTGATGCAGCTCTCAGGATCTGTGGAGAAGCCTCCCAATGAACATCCCAAACGTCCTGTCGTGGGTTTGGACTGCAGGATTGAGGAGCCCAGCGGCGTTCGACTGTGGGAACTGTTTTTGCGGCTAGCCGGCAACATGGAGACCTTCGCCCAACAATGCTTGTCCACAACTTCTGTCCTTGGCATTTTTCGACGAAGCCGGCAAGAACTTGACACCCGGTGAGCTGAAAGGAACCTACAAACAGCAGTTGCGGGATCGTTGCTTGGACACACTCGAGGAGCAGTTGCATCTACTTCAACCCCAAGTGGTTGTGGCGGTTGGGGAATATGTTCACACCGCCTTGAAGCGTTCAAAGTTTTGCAAGTCGGATTCTGTGATAGTGCTCCGGTTGCCCCATCCCAGTCCTCGGTCCGTGAATAATAACAATTGGCCAGAGAAGGCGCAGGCGTTTCTGGAGGATAATGGTCTCATACGGTATATGCGAAATGAGGCTTAGATGAAAATGAAAGATGTGTTTTTAATTTCATTAATTTCAGTCATCAAAATGAAACATTGTGTACAATTTTGTAATTTTATAATTATTAAGAACCTATAATACGTAGAAGACAGTTTTTTTAATTAAAACAAAGTATTTTAAAATATATATAACAATATATATCAATGTACATATCATCGGTTTAGAATTAAGATAAATACAAAAAGAATACAACTTTAATAGTACTTTCTAAAATCATCACAAAGTTCACAATAAATAAGAATAAGAACTATTTTTAATTTAAAACATGTACATTTTGTAAACACATATATAAAACAAGTCCATTAAGGAAACTAAAGTTCAATTTCTCAATAAAAATGCAAGCATTTTTAGTCAAAATTTTTGTAAATTTAAATTAAACGAATTCAACGGCCGAAACAGTGATTAAAGTGACGTGGAATAAACGAAGGCGAATATTTTGCTGCGTAATGGAAACTATCGATTGCCTGGCTCATCACTATAAGATATAAATATTGTTCACATTGCACAGCTGTTCCCAACCATTCAGTGTTGCAAAACGTTCGTTGAGTGAGAACTATACCGTCGCCTTTTGTTTTTGTTGACCTGGTCATCTCCGGTTTTTTCCACAAAGTTATCCGAGTTCCTTTCCATGCCAAATGGCCGACTTTATGGAGGAAGCGTTTGTAGAGGCGCGGCGGGCACGTGACGCCGGCGAGGTGCCAGTGGGCTGTGTGTTCGTGCACGGGGACAAGGTCATCGCACGCGGCGGCAACGAGGTGAACATCCACCGGAACGCCACCCGCCATGCCGAGTTCATATGCATCGACGCCACCCTGGCCTACTGCCGCGAGAAGCATCTGCCAGCCCGTCAGATGTTCAGCGAGATCACCGTTGTAGTCACCGTGGAGCCCTGCATAATGTGCTCCGCTGCCCTGCACACACTCGGCGTTAAGGAGATCATCTTTGGTTGTGAGAACGACCGGTTTGGTGGCAAGACGGTTGTGGACGTGGCCGCCGTGGTGGGCCAGAGAATTGACATAACCGGCGGTGTGAGAGCGGAGGAGGCGATGGCCTTACTAAAGGAGTTCTACAAGGGCGACAATCCGGCGGCGCCTCCTCTGGCCAAAAAGAAGAAGTAGGCCAGCAGTCAACGGAACTAATATCTAGCTTTCCGGATTCTGAATGAACTCTATTCCTGGAAACAATTGGGATTTCATACGAACGTCTTGCTGTACAAGAAATAACTAGGAACCGATTTTTGGGCATACTCTTTTAGAACAATATGAATTCCGCCGATTACTTTATGATCGTACAACTTCCCTATTCTTAGTAGTATTCTTATTTCCTAATATTTGAAAAACAATCAAGAAGATCACTTAAAGTATTCCTCGAAAACCTTGAGTAACCAGGAAAACTACTGCCCGGAAGTAGAAAAAGTTTCGCCGTTGATTTCTGTATATGTTTCAATTTATTATTATAAAATTTAAGCATAGTCTAAGATTTATATATATATTATGTATATGGCGTTCAGAACGTATGTTAAACTCTAAACATAAATACAATTACTGCATAAAAAGCTACAACATTTACGTGTGTGTAGTGAAGGCTGTGCCTGTTTCCACAAAAGGAAGTCTACTCAAAAAACCATTTTGTTTCTTTTTCTCAAAACGTAAAGTGCAGCAGCTGCGTTGCAGTCCGACACCAAGAAGCTTTTTAACCCTCCAAGACTTATAATGCTCAAAAAATCATAAGAAAACTTGTAATCTCTCAATTAAATTTTTGAAAATTATTTAAATATTGTTTGCCTTTGAAAGTATATATTATTTCTTAATTTGTTAAGAAACTAAGGTATTTTTGTTTCCTGAAGTTTTTAATTTTATATTAATTTCTGGAATCCATAATTTCCCCGGAGCAAAGTTAAATCAATAGTTTTTATTACATTCTTTTAGAATATAAATATAAATTTAAACTTTTAGAAAGGAGTGATTGTTTGTTTAGATCTCACTTTGCTTATTTAAAACTTTTGGTGTTGGAGGGTTAAAACTGGGCCCTTAACTAGTGTAATTTCCCTACATCCTAAGCTAATTGTTCGTTTCGATCGTTTGCTGCGCCAGCTAATACCTTCGATTAATGTCAACTAATTAAGCTGACCCCATCAAGTGCTGGCTGGCATAGCAAACAAACAATGGCGTGCGACTAAGCAAATCTAAACTAATTCTAATTAAATGCGTAGGTTACGGCGTCTGTGATCAATGTTGATCCACTCCAAGGGCACATTGCCACCCACATTGTAGGTGGGGTGCTCTTGCAGTTGAGTTTCCTGGCTGGCTGGCAGCCCCGGCTCACGTTCCAGTAAGCGAATCCCTGAGGACAGCGATGGATCTGGCCCTCGATGCGTCCCGTCTGCTCTGAGTATCCACATTTAACGAATAGCTGGCCGCATTCGTCGTTATTCAGGGCGAAGTGACCCTCATCCGGACAGAGTGGAGCCGTCGATGTGATTTGTACCTTTTGATAGAGATCATTTTCGTTACAATTATTTATTTATTAATTTGTTTGATGTTTGATCAAAGTCTTACCACATTCTGAAGCTTCGTTTCCTGCTGGAAAAAGTCACTGGTCCTCTTTGTGTCCTTGCTGCACTTGTCATCCGGCTTGGGGTTGCCACAGCTACAGGTCTTGTCCTGGAAAACGGTTCCATTGGGACACTGGAACACCACGATGTTCAGGTCGTTGCTGTCCACACTCTCGCTGCACTGGTAGAACATGCCACACTTCTCAGGATGCTGGCGGAATCCGGTGGGGCAGACATAAAGATTCTGTCCAGGATTGGTTGTTGGGCAAGGATCTGAGGTGTTGGTTCCGGGAGTGGGATTCTCCGTGGACGTTGGCATCTCAGTCGTTGGTTGGTTCGTGGTGGTTTCGCCGCCACTTGAGGTTGTAGTTTCAGGCTTTGGAGTGGTTTCCGGCTTTTCAGATGTCGTGGTTTCAGGCGCTCCTGTAGTAGTTGTTTCCGGTGCTATTGTGGTGGTTGTTTCCGGTGCTCCAGTGGTTGTGGTTGCTGGTGCTTCTGTCGTCGTAGTTGTCTCAGGGGTTCCAGAACTGGTTGTTGTCTCTGGTTCCATTGTGGTTCCCGGAGAAGTCGTTTGTCCCGAGGAGCAATTGCCAGACACCTGATCAGCGTGATTGCAGGTTTCGGTGGACGTATCCCAAACTGTTCCCTTTCCGCATTTGAATGCATATACTGGTACTTTCCATTCTTGGCGGCATCCACGCAACGGTAGTAGCGCATACAGTCCTCGGGATCGGGGAAGAAGCCCTCGCCAGTGCAGTTATAGTTTGGCTGAGGTTCAGGCTGGGAAGTGGTTGATGGTGGTTCGAGTGTTGTAGTCTCACCAGAAGTGGGTGTAGTAGGTTGAACAGTTGTCGTTATAGGTTCGATTATGGGCTGATCAGTCGTCGTTGGATTATAACCTGGGATAGTGGTTGTAGTTTCGACAGGTTTAGATGTCGTTGTTGGGCTATAACCTGGCATATTAGTCGTGGTGGGTTCTTCAGTTGTTGTTGGTTTTGTATTAGGCTTTGTCACTGTTGTGGGTTCTTCAGTAGTAGTTGGTTTTGTGTTAGGGTCTTCTGTGGTTGGTTTTGTGTTGGGCTTTGTCACTGTTGTGGGTTCTTCTGTTGTTGTTGGTTTCGTGTTGGTTTCCTCAGTGGTTGGCTTCATGTTAGGTTCTTCCGTGGTTGGTTTCGTGTTGGGCTTTGTAACTGTAGTGGGTTCTTCCGTTGTTGTTGGCTGAGTGGTAGTGCTTCCTGGATCCTTGGAATCCTCACCTGGCATGGTCGTCATTGGTTCGTTTGTCGTGGTCTGCGGTAATTTGAGCACCGCGGGATGTTCTCCATGTAGTCACAAGTTTGGACGTCTTCATTCCAACCAGTGCCTTGGGACACGTAAAGTTATACTTTCTGTAAGAGGATCCGGCTTTAATGCATCGGTAGTACTTCCTACAATCCTCGGGGTCGGCCATGTAACCCTCTCCCGTGCATTCTGTGCCCGCTGGTAGTGGTTTCATTGTGGTTGAAGTGGTGGTAGGTTGCTGGGTTGTGGTATCCGGATTTGTGGTCATTGTTGTACTTTCCCCTTCCGAACTTGACGTTGTTGTACTTGGTGGAACAGGTGTTGTGGTACTGGGAGGCATTTCTGTGGATGTTGTGGGAGGTAATCCAGTCGTTGTAGTGGGAGGTAAATCAGTCGTGGTGGGTGGTATAGTTGTAGCTGGACGTCTTGTAGTTGTAGTTGACCGAGTTGTTGTTGTAGGTGCCTGTGTTGTTGTTGTTATAGGTGGCTGCGGTGTTTCTGTGGTATTTGTTCCATTGTTTTGGTTTGGCTCACATGATGGCTTTTGAGTGGTTGAACCGGTGTTACAGTTGTTGAAATTGTGATTACAAGTTTGCAGATCCTGATCCCAAACGGTTCCATCACCACATTGGAAGGGAATGGCATTGTAGCCACCATTGGCAGTTCTAACACAACGATAGAATTTGGAACAATTGTTGGGATCTGCCATAAAGCCCTCGGAGTTACACTGGCCATTAGTGTTGGGAGATTGGGTTGCTGGGGATGTCGGTCCTTGGGTATTGACGATGGACGGGAAGTGGGAGTGGGGGAGGACGTAGGACGAGAGGTAGATGATGGACCTGATGGCCTGGATGTGGAAGATGGATCCGATGGTCTGGATGTGGAAGATGGATCCGATGGCCTGGATGTGGAAGAAGGTCCTGAGGGCCTCCTCGTGGTAGTGCTTGAAGTCGTAGGCGGAGACGAAGTTGTAGGTGGGGCCTTTCCGCCGCATTCCTTTACAGCCCATGCATGGTTACAGGCCTGAGTTTGAGCATCCCAAACTGTGCCGGGGCCACACGTGAAGGGCACCATATTGAAGCCACCTCTGTCGTTATCCACACAGCGATAGAACTTGGCACAATCCGTTCGATCTCCAATAAATTGTCCGTTGAACATGCAGCTCTCTGATGGATTCGGTTTCGATGCTCCCTGATTTGAATTGCTGCTCGAGGAAGCTGAGCTTGATGCCGATGAGGACGAACCCTGATTGTTGTTGCTGCTGGATGATGATGAAGATGATGAGCTGCCGCTGGACGAGGAACCACTGTTTGAGGAGGAGCCTTGATTGGACGAGCCACTACTTGAGGAGGAACCACTATTCGAAGAGGATGAACCATTGTTGGAGGATGATCCAGTGTTAGATGAGGAACCGGAGTTTGACGAAGAGCCTTGGTTAGAGGATGAACCACTATTGGAGGATGATCCGCTATTGGAGGAGGATCCGCTGTTAGAGGAGGAGCCTTGGTTGGAGGATGAAGAGGAGTTACTGCCGCTCGATGAAGATCCTCCCTGATTTATCACTTTCTTGCACTTGAGCGGCTTGGTCTGAATCTGATCGGGGTGGTTGCAGCTGTTAGCTTCGGGATCCCAAATAGTGTTTGGAGGACAGGTGAATGAGACCTTTGTGAATCCGCCCTTGCCGTTGTCCACGCAGCGATAAAACTTGGAACAGTTTTCGTTGTCAGCCAGGAATGTTTCTTCACTTTCGCATTTTTCAGCAGGTCTGAAGGGTTTCTGTGTGGTTGTTGATGAAGATCCCTCGTTGGTGGAGGAAGAAGTTTGGTTAGAAGAAGAGGATTGCTGGGAAGACGAGCTCTGATTAGAGGACGATCCTTGGTTTGACGAAGATCCTTGGTTCGAAGACGAGCTCTGATTTGATGATGATCCTGGTTGAAGACGATCCTTGATTGGAAGAAGATCCTTGATTGGAAGACGATCCTTGGTTAGACGATGATCCCTGGTTGGAAGATGATCCCTGGCTTGAAGACGATCCTTGGTTGGACGATGATCCCTGGCTTGAAGAAGATCCTTGATTGGAAGAGGAGCCCTGATTTGATGATGACCCTTGGTTGGATGAAGAACCTTGATTGGAAGAAGACCCCTGATTCGATGACGATCCTTGGTTGGACGAAGATCCCTGGTTGGAAGAAGATTCCTGGTTTGAAGAAGATCCTTGGTTGGACGAAGATCCCTGGTTGGAAGATGATCCCTGGCTTGAAGAAGATCCTTGATTAGAAGAGCTGCCTGTGCCACTAGCCATTGCCTTGCACTGCTCCTTTTGTACATCAGTTGGATGGTTGCAGCCCTTTGTATCAGGATCCCAGACTGTACCCGGTGAGCAATCGAAGGGAACCGTATTAAATCCACCATTATCATTCTCTACACAGCGGTAGAATCGAGCACAGTCCTTTTTATCTGCCAAATAAGTTTCAGTATCCTTGCATTCACCATCAGGATTGGATGGCTTAGAAGGCTTGGAAGTTGTTGATTGAGTGCCGGAACTACTTGAGGACGATTCGTTGTTAGACGATGAAGATGAGCCTTGGTTGGAGGATTGATTGCTGGATGAGCTTTGATTGCTGCTTTGATTGGATGATTGGTTGCTGGATGAGCCTTGATTGTTAGATGAGCCTTGACTGCTGGAAGAGCCTTGATTGCTGGATGAACTTTGATTACTAGATGAGCCCTGATTGTTAGATGAGCCTTGATTGTTAGATGAGCCTTGACTGCTGGAAGACCCTTGATTGGTAGATGAACCTTGATTGCTGGAAGATTGATTACTCGATGAGCCTTGGTTGCTGGAAGAGCCTTGATTACTAGAAGATTGATTGTTGCTGCTGCTGGAGGAGCTTCCACTAGATTGTTGGCCAGAACTATTACTGCTACTTGAAGATCCCGATTGTATGTTGCATTTCTTCTTTTGGTCATCCGTTGGCAGATCGCAGACTTTGTCTTCCTGGTTCCAAACAGTGCCAGGTCCACAGGTGAAAGGCACATGTTCTAATTTCCCATCCTTATCCAAACGACATCTGTAGAATTTGGCACAGTTATCCTGGTCGGGTATATAGGTATTTTCATCTTCGCATTCAGTGGCTGTGGTGGGTTTGTTGCTGGTAGAGTTTTGATTGCTGCCAGAGGACTGGCTGCTGCCGGAATTTTGACTGTTGTTCGAGGATTGGTTACTGCCAGAGCTTTGGTTCTGTTGACTGCTAGAGGACTGATTGCTGCCAGAGCTTTGGCTGCTTCCCGAGTTTTGAGAGCTTTGGCTACTACTGGCGCTAGTGCTGGATTCCTGGTTACTACTGGAACCCGTGTTGGACTCCTGATTGTTGCTTGAACCCGAGCTGGACTCCTGACTGTTGCTTGAACCCGAACTGGACTCCTGATTGTTGCTTGAACCCGAGCTGGACTCCTGGTTGCTGCTAGATCCCGTGCTAGACTCCTGATTGTTGCTAGACGAGGAGCTCGACTGCTGACTGCTGCTGGAAGTGGAGGACTCCTGGTTTGAGCTGGAACTGGACGTCGAGCTGGATGTCGAGCTTTGCGAGGAGCTTGAGGAACTGGTCGAGGAGCTCTGCTGGCTGCTGGAGGAGGTGGAGTTCTGGTAGCTGGACTGCGAGGACTGTGTTGACGTTTGGCCGGCATCGTAGCCATCGTTTTGTGGCGCCGCCTGATTGCGGCAACCACCATTGGCACGTACGTCAAACATGTGGTTGCAGGACTGCAGGGACTCGTCCCACGCGGTGCCGTCGGAGCACCGGAAGCCGATTTTGTTATAGCCCCGTCCGTTCGAGATGCAGCGATAGAACACGGTGCAGTCGCTGGGATCGCTCTGGAAGCCATCATCACGGCATATCACCCCGTCGGCCTCCTCCGCCGAGCCAACAGCTCGCAGGCCCGATGGCGACGACGAGCTGGAGAAGGAGATGACAGAGACACCGCTGAGTCCTGCCAGACCATAATTCGTGGGCAACCGGTGGTTCGAGGCATACAGCCGCAGCTCATTGGCCGCAGGTGTGACGGCCAGGTTAAGCATCGCATTATGCTCGTCCTGTCCGTAGCGTCCTGTTCCCACCGCTCCGCGCTTCCGTCCACCTCGTTCATCTGGTCCACACACTCATCTCGCCCCGCCATCGCGGGTGGCAGACACATACGCAGCGAGCGCGAGAAGACCGCATCCTCGGGACAGGCCAGTAGGTAGGGTTGAATATATTGGCCTGACCGCCGCTCGCAGCGGTAATAAATCCGGCAATCGTAGTCGTCAGCAAACAGACCTTCGCCCGGGCAGTAGAAGGCCACCTCATCCGTGTGGACCATCGGCAATGGGATGTCTGCAAAGAAGTACGAAATGAAGAGATTATTGCTTTTTGCTGACTTTGGGAGAGGCTGCAATACAGGTAATGGGATATGACGATAAAACTATAAAGATAAATGCATTTTTAAATGTTAAGGAATATATTCATAGTTAAAATGGTAATAGTATATATTACGCCGTGCAAATATGATATACAATAAGGAAAGAAAAGATAATTCACTCTTTTTCTAAAGTTGAAATATAAAATATTAATTAAACTAAAACATTATCGAACATTTTATTTAAATGCGGATATGTATATAAATTCTTTTCTTATTGAAACTACATAGAAAGTTTTTGAAACTGTCACTCAATTTCGAGTATCAAATAGATTTTTTTCACATCACTTTCTAATAAATTAACTGATCATGTTTAGTTTATTTAAAGTTACTTTCAATGCCTTTTAATGTTTTATGTCCCATTAAATGTCAGTAAAAAAAAGGTCCTGTTTTTTCGACCCCTTTCGTAATTTGTTTTTGAACCACGGAGAGTAGTAGTATCAATCTATAAATTAGCATCCCTTTTCTGGGCACTCGTACATGTCGATGTCCTGGCAATTTGAAAGCGGCCGCTGGAACAAACCATTGAACTGAAACTTCCTGTCGCAAATCTCTCGCCTGCATATATTACAAACGCATAGTACATGTATGACGAACACATCCATCTACATAACTTATAGTGGATATATAACATATATATGTACATATATATTTTGCTCAATTTCATTTGACATTTTGTGCGCTGGCTCGTCTTTCGTTTTTCGTTGCGGGATTTTTCGCGCTGTCAAAATAAAATTGATAATTTATTGTCATTCAATGTGCGAGAGTCCTCTTTTTCATTTTTTTGGTTTGGGTTTTCCCCTTGTTGTTGGTGGTGTTGGTGGTGCTTTCCAATAAATTTAAATGCATTTATGGCCGTTACAGCGGAACAAATTCATTTTCAAAATGAATTGCGAGTGTGTGTTTTTCTTTCACGATGTTTTTATCCCACTTTACAGATTTTCGGAGCCAAGGGGGCCGGCGAAGGTTGGCGAAACATTGTAAATGCGCGGCTAAAAATTAGACCGGGTCTAGGCATAAATTCACATCAGTCACGGCCTACTCCTAATAATATATCTGAGTTCGCATTTTTTTGGTTTTGCTCCGCCCCAATGTAATATTATTATTGGAGTGTGTATGTAAGCCAACGGCCAATGGTTTATGGCCTCAAAATGGCCGGAGGCATCCATATATTCCTTATGAAAATTGCCAAATTTAATGGCCATAAAATTTAATTATACCAAATGTGGTTACGCCGGGCAGACGGCAATAATGTTTGCATGGCGAAAAGTGAGCGAGATTGATGGAAACTTTTGAATACCAGGTGTGGGGGGAGATGATGTGAAAAAGTTTACAAGAGATTTAATATAGAATTAAACGATCTGCAAAGGATGGGATTTTCTAAAGTTAAGTTAATAAACAGACTTGTAAACTTTAACAAGGATTCGTGTTATGACTTAAGCGTACTACAAATACCTTTATAAAAAGTTTATTATTTAAATGAAAATAAATAAGTTTTCTTAATATTAGTAATGGTTTAACCAAAGTATAAAAAAGTTAAACTAAAATATATCAAATACCCTTAAAGATAAGTAAGAAACATATTTCCAAGTGCTGAATTTTAGTCAAAAGTAATGGAAAGTCTTTAATGATAGAATAAAACTTTAGATTTTATTGATTCTAAAATAAACAAGAAGTGCCGAAAATGTAAACGAAATTCTATTTAAATTTTTAATGACCCAACTCCAGCTCATCCCCTCCCCTCGGGTATTTATGTGTATCTCCCCCCATTTTGCATCAATGGTAAACGCTTAATTTTAAATGTAACCTCTTGCCGGCCGAAAATCCAGTAAACTAATTTAATAGAACGCCTCACAGCACACGGCTTGGCTCGCCGCTCGCTGTTCGTTGGCAAACAAACATAAAGTTTCAATTTGTACACGAAGGCCCAAAAATGCTAAACCCATTACACAGATGGCGGCGGGTCGGAGGATGGGATGTGAAGGGGTATGTGTGTGTGTGTGTGTGGATCCTTGTCGTCGTCCTCCAACGTCGAGGGAAAATTGACCGTTTTACGATTTTAATTATATATGATGTGTACTTTAGAACTTATGCAAAATGAAACGAAAGGCGAGCGCGGCAATCCGACCGCAAACTTATGCGTTGTCCCCTCTTCACCACCATTAGGGTACGTCACCCTACAGAGAGAAAAAGGATCTCTTAAAGGGAGCTATTAAAAGGATCCTTAAAACGGATCACTAAAAGAATCTCTAAAAGTATATCCAAAAACTATGTGATTTTTATTTTATGTGAACTCTACTGAACTATATAATACTGTTTATGTTTTTTAAAAGCTTGATAAGATTGAGTTATAACCTGACATATATAGGTATTTATTTTGCAATAAAAATCATTGTAATTATTTAAAGCTTTATACATTAATTTAACACAATTATTAGTGGTATACAAGGAACTAGAGATACTAGAGTCTAGGAAAAAATTTTGGGAAACCAATTAGATGACTTTTTACTATTTACGGAAATTTTCTTCTTGCATTTTATAAGTTTTTCTAACAGCCAAAACTAGCTGTATACTAATTAAATTAAAGCCTTAAATAATATAATATACAATTTTCTTTGAAATACAAAATATAGAAAAAGGCATCCTAAAAAGTTGGGTAATATCTAAAGCCTCCCAAAGAGTTTGATAATATCTAAATAATATATCTTAACAACTTACAACAACTCCCTTTTCAGGCTTCTCTTATAAGATTCATATCCAAAAATTAATACCCACATCCCCAGTTACCAGTTCTATTACTAACTTCAACTTTTGTTCGTGTGTAAGCATTCGGGCCATATTCCCTGGCATCTGGCAAACCGGGAGCAGGCGTAACATGGTTAGCCACAATCTGACCGCAGAGCATGGCCGCAAATAGTTTCGGATATGGCATTGCTATTTCCACCAGCCTCCACCACCCATTAAAACGCCGAGAGAAATACCCAATCCCATTTCCAGTGCCTGTCCCTGTCCTGTCCTGTCCGCGTCCCCTTTTGCATTAAAATTTCAATTTTCAACATTTAAGCACGTTACGGTTTACGAAAATGTAGTTATAAAAGCATGCATAAGTACACGAGCTTCACTGTCAACGTAGGCATAATTTTCATAGGGCCCTAGAGAGCTCTGCTCTGGTGAAAATTACAACTACTGATTGTCTATTTTTCCCTTTATTTTTCCTTTTTAATTAAAATTTATTGAGCGGCCTGGTGGTTGTGGTTTAATGTTTCTACCCCTCTCCTCTGGGCTCTGTCGTTTGGTTTGCTTCGTTAAACATCGATGTCGGTGGCTATTTAAATTTCATTTGAAAATAGAAAACACTGCGAAATCTTCAAAATTTGCAAGAGTAATTTGTGTGATTTTTATAGTTGTTTGTTGTAGCGGTTTCACAAAATGCCAACTTGGGACATTTAATTGTTCCATTGGCGCTTCGGGCAGTTTTTGTTGTGTATATATATATATGTGTGTGTGTGTTTGTTGCAAAAAGTCAGAGTAAATGTCCCTTAATTAGTCATTAAAAGTTTCGTCATTATATTGTCCGCTTGATTGTGACCTTTTTCAGCGTTTCTGCAACCGCAGGGGTTTTTAATTTAACTTACTCGGATGATAGTGATGATTTTAAAGGGTTAAATAAGCTTTAAGTATAATTTTAGACCTTTTAATGCTACATTTTAAAAATGTTATAATTATAGGTATATGATATAAAAAAAGTTCTGAGTTTTGAGTTTCATTAGTTTTTCCAGAAAGTAATTAAAATCGGCTTAATATAAAATATCAGGCCTAATAAATATTATCATAATTTGTATATATTATTATTCAGTTTAGGTGCTAAATAGTTAGTGTTTAAATATTTTGATGTATTTTCTGTAATATTTTCTGAGAATAATTAAACTATTAACTATTAAGGTGAATAAAACTAAGAAATATGAATACAAAACAACAAGTATTTATCATAAATCCTTATGCTTATGTAAACCTTAATTTAATTTTAAGTTCTAATATTCTGTATTTATATCTTACTATTAGCATTTTGTAACATTAAAATTCTGATTTGTTTTGGTATAAATCAACATCTCATCTCCATGATTTTAGAGACCTGATTCTATTACTCCGACTGGGAAAGTGCCATAAAAAAGCGAATTGAAATGTCAGTTACCGGCTTGACATTAGCCGTTTGTCGCATCCTTTAATATCCTTCACCCGGACTCTCTGTTTTTTTTTTGTCGCATTTTACCAACTGGAAAACACTCCGGGGGCTTGTAGTTGCAAGTTGTAAATATGATATTTGGATTTTCGAGCTCTCTCGCCCATCGTCGTTGGGTTGGCAACTCGGTAATTTCATTTGCCTCTGGTGGCATTTCGCCGCTGTGCCTTCATGTTGAATCCAACGTATCCGTACGTGTTGGCCAGAGACGGGGAGTCCGGGTGTCCTGACGGTCCGGACGGTCCGGTTAGTCCTGGCTCAGCTCCGGAGCCGTATTTTCGTTTCAAGTGCATGTTTATGCCACGCCCATTTCATTCTGTTCCGCCAGCACCGCTCAAATTTCATGGTGGCAAATGACCAGCTACAGGAAATTCAATTTATTATGCAGCTTGACAGTTTTTAGCCATTCTCTCTCTAAGATGACAGCTGTTTCTATGGCTCTAGCTTCAGCGCTGGCTCCAGCTCCTGCTCCTGCTCCTGCTCCTGCTCCGGCTCTAGCTCCCTTTGCCTGATCCTGTGCTGCTACTGCTGCCTTCTGACAGCTTTGGTGGATGAAAATGAAACAGAAAATAAAAATGAGCGAACTTCTCGCGCTAATTCTGGCATCTGTCGGGCTTCATTTCGGAGTCTCCTATATTTTTTCCAAAGCCTTTCCATTCTTTTTTTCTATTCCAGGCA